GTCATTCTAGTGATTTTGAGAAAGCTCCTCCTCCCCTCACATGTATGCAGATATGCATACAACCACATTTCAAATTTCTTATTATTCCCAGAATTAGAGAAAAACCTCCTTAGATGAAAGGTTCCAAAACCCAATTTCACAATGCAGTATGTCTGAAGTTACTAGACTTTTAATTTCATTTCCTAAAGTCATGGATAGTTGATTATGAACTGTACGTTGCAGCAGCAGAAAAGAGACAATATGAATGAAATTCAGACACCTAAATACAAGTGTTTGGTGCTATTTTTCTGGTGTTATGTTCAAGGATATCTGAAACATCCGCACTGGGCTGTCCTCTGTGACACAGAATGAACAGGAAACCCACTTCTTAGGTCATAGTAGAATAGGTATCTAAATTAGTATTAGATGCCCACATTTAGGCAAATAAATCTCTGCAAAATAAAATAAATCTCAATTTTTCAAAATAGAGAATTAATTTCATCTTTAAATTTCATGTATCAGCTTTGTACTCTGATAAGAAAAATGGAATGCTGCCTGTCTTGATTCTGACTAGGTATGTTGTTTCTTTTTGCCCAAAATAACTATATCTCCCTTCCTCTTTGCATATATCTGGAGACTCTTACTGTTCTTTGTCTGGTATTATTATCCTTTGCAACAGCTCAGAAAGAGCTGAGACTTGTGAGTGGTGTGGCTGTTTGTGAGAAGTCATTTTAGCTCTCCATTTCTTGTTGAGTTTTGTTTTGTTTTTATGCTTGTATTTTTTTCCCCACTCTACAAAATGGCTAGTGTTAAAGGCTCTTGAATCTGATTCCCCAGCAACTCACGTTACGGAAACTGAACTTCTACGTGCTGAATAAACACAATGAGTACCAGATAGCATAATCATCTGCACCGTTCCCTTCATAATAATTACCTGTTTGTGTGCAGTATTCTGAAGGTGTATAAGGTCATAAATTATGTTCTTTGTGTAAGGTGGAGTTCCAGAAAAAGTGCTGTAAAAAGTATCAGCAGTACTCTGCTGTTGTGAAACACCACCTGTTTAATTTACCTAAATATTTTATCACTTCTGTGATGTTCAAAGTTGGCCACTCTTCACAGTAGTAACTTCAGAGGAACTAATAAAACATTAATTATCACAAATATTTACAAGGTATTAATAAGAACAGAGAAATGTATTAAAAGAAAAATGTTTCTTCCATTACAATAAGATCATTACAAATGTTTGGCACTGCAAAATGAGTTCCCAGAGACTTGCCAATTCATTTTCATAAATGAAATTCATTAAAGCTGTATATTATGCAGTTCATTCATCTGTATCTACCAAGCGGATTACATCTAGTCCAGTAGATTTAGACCCATTAGATGAAGACTAACCACTGCAATCCATACATATGTAATATTCACCCTGGACTATTACAGTTCTCTCTAGGAAGGAGCTTTGTGCCTTATAGAAGTTCAAGGTTGGCCAGTGCAGATCGCATCACCTGATGCAGAGTTTATTACAGATGCTGCTGAACGACTGATTTCATTCAGTCCTTAGTGCAAGGAAGCAGAAGCCAGTATGTCACACTGTCTGACCTGCATCTCACAAGCCCTTCATGCCATTAGCTCAGCCCTACACTGAACCTAATTATTTGGTTTTAGCTATAGTGACCTTTCAGAAATCATAAGCTCTTGATTTGATTGGATTGATTTTAAGGTATCATTCTTATTCTAAAGCCCTGCACAGGATTTCTCTTCTTGTGTTACAGTTCAAGGCAAAACTCCAGCAGGGAGATATTCTGGGCAGAGGACAAAGCTGACACAGGGAATCGCAGAACTTGCTATTGAAATAGCAAACACTTTTGTCAAAGCTAGCAATAAAATCCATTCCTCTACTCAATTTTCTTACCAAAGTATGCTAAAGTTTTCATGCTTTTTGTCAGGTAAAAATTCCCAAGCCCAAACCAAACAACACGAGAAAACAGTGCAAATATGCTTCTTGATACTAAGTGCATAAAAGGAAAATTAAGTTGGGGGAAACACCAGAGTATTACTGTGCTGTGGTGTGGGTAAGTACACGCGGAGGGAGTTTCAGATTAGGTTGAAAAGCAGCTTCTGGAAATGACTGAGACTGGTGTTACTGATTTAATCCTTTGGAACCTTTTCTCATCTTCAACAAAAGACACAGATTTTAACAGTCATTTAAACTGTGAGCTATAAAAATAGGCAAGAATCCTCACAAAACATTCAACCATAGATAATTTTCAAAGAGTTATGCACTATTGCAAATAAGCTAGCTAGTGATGCCTTTACTTATGTTTATTAGAGAAATTTGTCCCCCCTCACCCCCAAGGTACTGTCCAAGAAATTGGTCAGGTTTTGAATTTAAAAATGGGCATTTGAAGTGCTCAAGAAGCAAGGATGCACAGCTCATTGCAACAGGACCATATATATGTATTCAACATGTTCTATATACATTAAGATAATAATTAAGACATGAATTACCGGATAAATAAGTTTGGGGGTTTATTTTTTTTCCCTTAAGGTTATTCTTTTTTATCATTACATTTGATGCAATTTATTTTGGGCTGCTGGTAGAGAATGTATTGGGAGACAAGACTTTGGCTTGGTTATAGCCTTGCACTGGAAAAAAAAGCTACTTCTGTAGCTTCAGTCTAGTACTTCAGTAGAGACAACTTTTCCCTGCTACTGCAGTAGTGACAGAAGATGGTGTAAAGGTATGATATTAGTTCTCTTAGTGAAACCATCATTGAGCAATTACAGTGAAGCTTTTTATGCAGCCATTATACACATAAAACCGTAATGAAGACATCTTGATAAAAGCAAGGGGAGATGTGTGGAAGGGTGAAATAAAAAAACCAAACCAAACAACCGCCCCCCCTACAGTTTTCATAGATAATCACAGGGAGTTTGAATTTTTTAAACCTTCATTTTGTCAGTAATAACTGTGAAAGTTTACTCTAATTAAAAGCATAATTTTGCCACATTAATCAAGTGCCACGGTTCTAAATAGCGCATGGGCTTTTGAGACCTGGAGCGCTTGATTTCCTGGAAGTGGGGTGCATACTGAATACCTTGAATCCATTGGGGTTTTCCACAATATATATTTTTAATTTTACCTCATAAGCACCTGGACATGATTAGGTCTAACAAACATTATTAAATAGAAAACAAAACTACTCGGTCAACAACTGAAGAATGCTCAGAAAATCAGTTTCAGGGAAATGTTAAGCCTTAGAACAAGGAACATTGTGCTGCAGAAGCATAGCAAGTATCAAAAACCAGACTAGGCAGCTTAGATGTACTTAAGACAAAAGGGAAGCCAAATGACACAGCTCAACAAATACTTTGGTGTCAGTGCTTAGAAGAAAGCTGCTAGCCTTTTAGTATCAACACTATTAATTGTCCAGAGATTACAGGTTTTGTACTTGTTCAAAGGAAGAGTTAAAAAGGGTTACACCTGAATTGAGTCTAGGTCAAGCGCTCTCAGGTATCTAGCCATGCTCTTGCAATTTTTTTATCCTTGCAGTTGTTTGCAAAGACAGTAAGTCAAGAGAATCTTTAGTTTTGCATTCTCAACTATGCAACATTTCCAATGCTACACTGGAGCAGCCGGTGTAGGTCTTTCCCTGCCTCAGTTTCCCAATGACTGTAATTTTCTCATACAATGGTATTCCCACATAAAGTACTGAAAGCAACAAGCATCAGGACAGATGATAAGAAAAAAAAAAGTGTTTTTAAGACAATGTTTTTTAAATTACTACATTCATGTGAAATTATAATAGCATTATATTTCTTATTGATCTTTCTTACAAGTGGCATTTTTCCTGTCATGACCCATTAGAATCCTAGCAAAGTTATTTTGAAACATAGAAGTATTTATTTCCTAGTATGCTTTCTAATTGTGTTTTTTATTTGCCTGCCATTTTAGAACACTTAAATGACTAAACCAGAGACAGGAAAACATACCATGTGTGTCAGGTTGCAGGTATGTAACAAGTTGCACTGACTGGGTGAAAAGTCAAAGCATATTTTCTTTTCATGGCTGAACTTTTATAATGCTGATTAATATCAGCATACAATTGTCACTTGAAGGTTTTTATCTCTTCCTGACCTCAGTTTTCTACCTGGAGCATCCAGACCAACTCTCCTTCCTTCCATTCTTTTGAAGACAGTGAGGTTTAACATGCCACATTTATGACGGTGAATCAATTGGTCAAAAACTAGTGGTCTGATCTGTGCAGTTGTGTAAAATCATAGCTGTTCACAAACAGTGATCAAATCCAGTCAATCATCTGACAGTGTAATATCCCAGATGTTTGCCAGTCTCTGTATGTAAGAGTTGTTAATCAACTTGAGCTTGCACTGCGGCTGCCAGTGTAACAGAGAATGAGCTGTTCAGAGAAGGAATCCTTCATTTCATTGAAAATAAGCGTCCTGCAAAATCATCTGTGACTCAGCCAAAATGAAAACTGTGAGTATTGTTTCTGAATCAGAAAAATATTTTTTCAGAATTGAAATTTTGGTGTGTGTGTCACTATTTCTTTGGTGGCTTCAGGAAAACATCAAAGCACACGTCCCACGTATTTTCAACACTGACTTCACAGCTATTGGCCCTGAGCACGCCAAGTACAATCAGAAGGCATCTACCTTCCGCTGTTTTTGCCAGAGGCTGGACTTTAACTATTTGACTTTCTAACAGACTGGCTGATTTGCACACTTTTACCCACTCTGGTGCTATCAAACTGTTCTTCATACAGTGAGGGGGTCATTTTATTTGTCAGTGGCAAGAATGCTGATAAGGGCGGCCGTGGAATTGCCACGTAGCATTCTGTGTACATAAAGGACAGGAGATGGCTTCTTCAGCGGTGCAGGCTGCTGTGAAGGAGCCCAAGGCACAATGATAAACCACTTTCCTCTCTCATTAGAGCTGCTGCTGAACGCGATCCCTCGGCCCGGCTGGGAACCCAGCCTCCCCCCGAGAGCTGCTTGTTTGGCACAAACGTGCGGGTCTGTCCTCCTGCCTTGTTCTTTCCTTATTTCTCTAAGGCATAACCATAAATCCCCGACCTCACAGAGGGATGGGGTTGCTTCGTTAATGATTTATCAGGCTCTTAAACAAGCGCCAGGCCCCTCAGGCAGTGCGCGTCCTGGCCCCGATGCGCGCCCGTGTGCCAGGGTCGGCCCAGTCGGGGAGAAGGTTACCGGCCAGGCCCGAGCCAACTCCTGAGGAGTCAAGGGGCAGCGCTCCCCGACCTCGGCTGCCCTGGCGCTCTGTCAGGCCCGGCTCGACGCTCCGGACGGGTCGGATGACACCGCGGCCTCGAGTCCCGGGATGAGGGAGGGGGAGCCGCGCACCTGCCGGGGCCCGCCCCGCTGTGCCGCCAGGGAGCGGAGCGCAGGGTACCTCCCGCCCCGGCGCGGTGGCGGCAGCAGAAAGGGCACAGCTCGGCCCCCGCCCGCCACAGCGTGGAGCCGGCGGCCGCCCACCCCCGCTGCCGCCCGCGCACGTGTGCCGGGGAAGGCGTTCGGTGCCGTTCTCCGCCCGGGCGGCGCTTCCCCTCTCTCCCCGCCACCTCCCCCCTTCGCAGCAGGAGCGGAGAGCAGCCTCCGCCCGACACGCCCGGCAGCGCCGGGGCCGCTCGCCGACGTGCCTCCCGCGCGGGCGGCCGCCCAGCCAGGACGTCGCCTCCGCCGATGGCCGCCCCGCTGCCCGGTGTGCCGCGCGCCTCAGGGACGGTGGCGGAACCGGAGGGCGGCGGCCCCCACGGAGCAGTGGGCTCCCCCTGCCCGCTCCCCCGATCCCCCGGGGGGGACCCGCCGCCCTCGCCCCCCGACAGGTAAGGCCGGACCCCGGGCGGGCACCGCCGGCCCTGCCTGCTCCCTTGAGGGCCCGCCTGCCGCCGTCTAGAGGCTGACCGGCGTCCTGCGGTCGGGAGCGGGGCCGGCGGGGCCTGAGAGTGCGAGTGCCCCGCGGCTTGGTAGCGGCGGTGTGGGGAGGGGGCCAAGCGCAGGAGCGGGGCGGCCTGGCCCGGGACCGGCCCGCGCCTCCCTGGAACTCCAAAGTTGTCTCCCGGCCCTGAAGACTCTTCCCTGCGCTGCAGATGAGTGGCGTCCGCACTCCCACTCCCCCCCCCCCCCTCCCATCTTCTTTTTAGAGGTTTGCCAGTTTTAGGTGAAAAGAGACGATGTTGGCGAGCCTGCCTTGTCACACCGAACCGAGCCTCTACTTTCTCTTTGCAGTGTCTTGTCTTACAATGTTCGTGAGATAAAAGGCTTCACCGTTAGCGATGCCGCTGTAATTGCTGTCAGCGAAGTGCACCGTTTGCTACCTCTGAGACTGTTCTTAAAGGCACTGGTCTCTATTCTTAGTAAGGGAAACTGTGAGCTAGGCTTTTCATGAAGTGTCTGATCAGTTTTGGTAGACTGAAGTTTGCAGAATCTTAAAATACTGCATATGGGATTTTTCACTCCTTAATGCTAGATAGCACTTCAAGTGAATATTCAGTGAGGATTTCCAGAAAGTAAAGTGTCTTCATTCTGCATCGTTACCTTACTCTCATGGTTTTTCCCACATTGTACCAATTAGTATGTGAAATCTGGAATAATAACAGTAAGGTAATATAGCTAAATACTTGTAGTCATCAACTCACACATATAGAAAATATGTAGGCAGACTGGGTGCTGCTGTCCAAATGAAAGCAAGTAGACAAAGTGCTGTTGAGTATTTTCTGTGAGAAAACCATGCACTGTAATGTACACAGCCTCTAAACAGCCATGTTATTAAGGTGATACTTTAAATCAGTGCATAACTGAGCTCTTCAGCAAGTACAGGAGTGAGTATCTTCACTACTCTTGCAAACGCTGGTTGGTGATGCTTCAGACACAATCAGATTTAAGGAGTCAGTAACTGCTGAGATATTTATTTTGTGGTGGAGCTATGGAGAAACAAATACAGAAGTAATTGAAAACAGAAAGGAGTGTATTGCTTTGCAGTATTTTGCCTTGTCAGTCACTTTGATTCCTGGTGAAGAAAAAAGTTTTCATCCATTTAAAATACAGTTGTGGTGTACTCAAGAAGTATTACTGAGAAGTTACATGCATCCAGTGTTGTAATATGTGTACATAGGGAATAGCATGAACACAGGGACAACAAAATATTTACTAATGTCCTTAGGAGCCAATATAAATATAACTGTGCTCCTGCTCTGCAAAGACTTAAACATATTCAAACAACTTTATATTCAGAGCTGTATACTTGGATTGCTTTCAAGTAGTGTTAAGCACTGTATGTTAATAGATTCAGCCTACTGATTAAAAAAAAATAACTGCATAAAGAAGCTAATTGCTGCAACCAGGAAGTATTGTGGTATTGATGCCTTAGTATTTCATGCATTGTGGTTGGATACTGCAATTTTAACAGCAGTTGCTACAAATTGATATATTTGTATCAAATTGTAACAATTTGTTATGTTTGGTATTATGTATTTTGCTGAAATAGGAGAAAACAGAAAGATGACAATATTTTGGAGATCTCATCAATTCCAAACCCTTTTCCTGAGCTCTGCTGCTCTCCATTTGCATCAGTTTTGTCAGCCAGCCTGTTGTCCAAGGAAACTTCAAGAAAAAAGCAGGTAAGATTTCTAAATTATTATTTGACAAATTATAGATTGGTTTCATGAAAGCTTGAGGAAAAAGCTCAGTTACCTATTAAGTTATTTTTCTAATAAGGGTGCTCCATATTTCTGTAGTTTGGTGAAATTTTCTCTGTAGGTCACTGGTGATTGTAGAAAATGAGGGTTTGGAACCTGTGACTCTAGATGTGACTGTTCTTTCACAGAGCCTACATGTGACTGTGAAAATTTTTTGGGTAAAGCGGAAGCAGGGGCAGGCAGGCAGTACTTTATGTCCTTAAATGAGAAGTAAATGTCTTTTCTTCCCTTCCTCCCAACCTCCAATTACTGTCATCAGTGCTGTAGCATAGAGAAATTTAACAGCCATTGAGCAGCTTCTTTTGTCTGAAGGTCTAATTTTGGTGGGATAATTGAATAAAACCAAAATTGATGGGGAAGGAGCAAATGCTGTGTACATGGCATATATTTTATATGCATGTGTGTTTATTTGTCTACAGCTGATGTTGCTGTATTTCCATAAATACATTAAAGTGTAAACCAAGGGAAGTTCTGAGTGGGCAGACAGACCTGGCAGTGCTTTGTCTTAGTTCTATTCACACACAATTTAAATGTTATCCTGAGCAGGGGTAGAGATTAAAGAGGAAATTTCCAATTAATGGAAATTACTGGTGTTGAAGATCTTTCACTCTAAAAGCTTGGAAAGAGTTCTGACAAGGAACAACTGTAGCATTAAGGGTACCACATCCTTCACATCCTCGGTGGTCTGCAAGACCCTGTCTTAACAGTTTTAGGGGTGATATTAGAGGTGTATGAACTTACACTGCTGCTAGTTATTCAGTTTTTAGATTTGCATGAAGAAATTGTCTGGAAGTTGAAGTTTCTTGTAGTTGCATTAACTTTTCTGAAGCTGACCAGTCATGGCTGTTTCCCTGTGCCTGCCAGAGAACTTTATTGACAAAGTCCTGGCTGGCACCTTAAAGAGGAACCTTATCCCTGCTTCTCCAGTGAAAAACATGTATGTGACTTGGAAACTGTACTGATTCTGTCTTGCCATATTTTGTATGTTCTCTAGAAATAGCTGTAGTGTCCTTCTAAAGTACTTTTAATGCTTTTAGTTCTTTCTTACAATAGTAATATTAATCTGAAGAATTTCTGGTTGGTTTGTATCTAAACGTTGCTGAGGCAGTGGCTAAAATTGTGATAGTTTTGTGCTTGGGCAAAGTAGAAGCTTTGACTGTAGAGGCAGGAAAAACTGTACTGGTAACATCTTTCTGAACATAAGGACTAGAAGCCACATTAAAGAATTAGTTTAGATTACACATGTTGCTGGCCTAAGTTGCACTTACTGTAGTAACTTTCGTGCTTGCAGCTGGTTAGTAGATTTCCCAAGCAAGGTTTAATACACTAAGGTCAACTACCTGCTTTTATGGCCTGTCATGGTTAACATTACTGACTGGCTTGATCAGTTAAGCCAGCCAAGTGTTAGCTTCAGTCTTTCAGAAGCTGGAGTTCATAGCTTTGCTGATTTCACATCTGTTTCTTCATAAATGTTCTTGTCGTACATTTTGTGACAATTTCTGCTCATAGTCCTGCCATTTCTGTTGTTTTTCCATTTAAGAATGTAGTGTTCTCTCTAGTAAAAGTAGGATCAAGAGCAGCTCGTTTACTGACACAAGTGAGCTAAAATGATAATGGTGCTAAAATAAAAAGAAGGGCCTGATACATTTTCCAGTTACCAGAAGAAATGAAAGGAGGCTTCCTTTTATTTTAAGGAGGCATTTTAAGAGGACCATGATTTCTGTCAAAAAGCCTTTCACCAAGGTATCTGCTTATGGCCACTACAGGATAAATAATACTGGGCTAAGCAGACCTTTTGTCACACTCAGCATGACTGTTCTTAAGTTCTTCATTTAAAGTTATTGAAGGCTGAGGCCAAATGGCAACTGTTTGAGTTAAACTTTTATCTTTGATTCAGGTTGAAGTCTTCTAATATATTCATAAAATTAAGTTTGAAAAGGAGAGAGGTGTGCAAAGAGAAGTGAACTGGCTGTGGCTTTGACTTACCAAAGTTGTGGAGGTTGGGCTTGGAAATATATTTCCACCCCATGTATTTTATTTTGCCAACTTTGTAACAGCTCTGTCTGCAAATACATAATCCATATACAAAAATTTCATTGTATGCAGCCCCCAAGGTCATGAATATTACTGTTACAGTTTGACAGTATCTGAACTCCTAAGAGAAACCAGCTACATTTAAGCACTTTTTAAAACTCTCAATATTGTTGGCAGCTGCCAGATTTTTTTCTGTTGCTTCTCTGATGATCTACATGTTTTTCAGTGACTCTTCTTTTAGACTGCTTTCTTTCTTAGTTTTTTTTTTCCTGCTGTGTCTTTAGTTTCAGGCATAATAGAGAAAAATTACAGAGTGAATTTCTACTTATGTCTAATAGGTAACTATTATCAAAATAGGCTTTTCTAAAAGAAAAAAAAGAAGTTATGCCTCTTCTGTCTTGTTTTTCTCTCCAGAAAAGATTTTCTACTTCCCAGGAAAAAAAAAGGTGTCACAAATATCTATTCTCTTATTCTTAACACCTATGACATCTGAAATCTTTTCTCTCTGAATAGATAATTAGCATTATTTTGAATTCTTGATTTTTCTAAGATGGAGTTTTTCTGTATTCTGATGATCTTTTATCATAAGCCTCTCAAAACATTGAACACACTGCTTGAACAGCATGTTTGTTTGCGGGGTCATCTTACTGGAAATAAGTTTATAAAAGGAAATTGGTAAAAGCCATGTAGGAGACTAGTGAGTTGCCTCTGTGCTTGGGAAGGGGGATATCTGTGTGTCTGAACATTATTTGGTCTGCCTCATCAACACAGCTGTCCATCTTCTTTACCTTCCTGCAGTTTTGAAAGAATTTTGTGTTATATCCCCACAGACTCATAATCATGACACGGTGAGAGTAATTAGAACAAACCTTGAGAGGTGACCTTGACTGTTTTGTTCTCTTTTAATTTAAAAAACAGATGAGGAATGGTGGAGATCAAAATAAGGAGTAAAAGTACAGAGTCAATATAGTGACAAAATATATTATCCTAGAGAAAGGTTTAGAAGCTGGGAGAATAGAAAGAACAGGCTCACACTGAGCTGCTGAGAACTGCAGGCTTCTGCGTCAGATGAGCTGTTCTCAGTGGAGCATTTCCTGGAGTTGACCCTATGGAACTGGTGTTATGATATCACACCCATGTTTGGGAAGGTGGAACTTTGAGATGTTTCACAAGTTGGAGTGGGATTATGTATTTAATGTCCTCATCCTCAAGGGAATGATGTAGAGATGAAACCTGAAACTGAATTTAGGGATGGCAAGATTACTTTGTGGATTGTGTAATCCATTCAAGTTTGGTATCCGTGGAAGAAATCTAGGAGGGACTTGGGTGCTTTGGGCATGAATTATGTTATATTTGTATATGTTCAGGTAAACTGCATTTTGTGCTTCAGGGTGCAAGACTTTTATTTAAAAAGACCAAAATCCCAGCTTTTTGCTGATGTTCGGCACATCATGATCAACTAGATGCATGCTAGGAAATGTTGGCTGTGGAGGAATTGGTCGTTTGCTGTTACTAGGTGGAGTTTGTGAACTCATGTGGAATATCTAGTTGTGTCTCAGAGTCTGTGTTCTCCCAGAAGTGACAAGATGCATAAAATATAAAACACTTTGTACTTTTGTCTCTAATTATGATCAAAATAGATATTGGTAGGGAAAAAATATTAACTGTAAGTAAACCTGTTCTTTAGTATGCTTTTGGTTTTCTTTGGTCAAATGAACTAAAAAGAGGTTACTATAGTTTTATGAAGGCTTAGTTTTGAAGTCTTTCTGAAATCAAAACCTGAATCATTGGCACCGGAGTGATAGTTTTTGCCCTGATCAAGGATAAGCCAGAAAGTGTTTCATCACAAAAGTAGTTCAAGGTAATTAGTGCCTTGTGTCTTTAAATTAAATTAGAAGTGCAAAAATAAAACTCAAGTAAATCTCAAGGTGAAGAACACTCAAATCTTAGGAATTTTATCTTGCCTCTTTTATCTTTTTTGATGTTCTAAACAAGTAGATATTTTTATCATTTAGTATCCAAATATACTCCCACAATGTTCTTTCCAGGAAATCTATTGTATAAAGAGATCTGAAATACATATTTGACTGTAGTGGAATGTCACTTCACTTTTTTGCATTAACAAAGATTTTCATCTAAAGCTCTTTGGCAAAGAAGAACTGAAAACAACTTTATGACAAAGAACAGATGTTTCTTTAAATGTGTGCTATTCTAAGTGTATGAATAATATTTAGCACTGACTGTTGCAGTTGGAGTGCCATTTATTTTCTTATACAGCTGTAGTTCATGGTCTTCTAGTGTACCCACTTGAAACCTCATTCTTACACATTTTTCATATAATTTTATTAGCAGGCATAAATGGTTAAGTATCTGGTACTTAGATGTTTTTATGACAGGGTGTTGTTTTGTGTTTTTTTTTCTGAAATACCAGTTTTCTCTTGACTTTTAATGCAAAAAGATTTTTTATTTAAATGTAATCATTCACAAATTTTTAAGCAATTTCCACTAGCTGAAACATATTTTCTAACCAAAGATGCATTAATTAAATTTACTCTGTAATTCCAGTCTGTCAGTTTCTCAACAGATGCTTCCAGGTTGGACAGCATTGCACATATCCTCTTTTATCAGTCCTTAGTATTTCTTCCTTCCAGTTTCTAAGCATATATACGTTTCTTCCATGTCTTTCCCTAAATTACACCAAAAAAACCCCCTTAGAGTTTGAAAGGAGGAAGGGAAAGGAAAAGGTCTTTCCAACCAGTTTACAGATGAACAGAAAAATATATCCTGTACAGAACCAGTTTAACGAACTCAAGGTTTTTACATGAAATCTCTAATATAAAGACTTGATTCAGTTGGACTCCTTTTCGTGGTGTCTCACCTGGTGGTCT